AAAAAAAAGTCTCACCCATTACATGTATTCAGATCTTTCTTGCCTTGATCAAAGAATTGGACAACACAAGCCAAAAATGGTGCCAAAAGTTTATTTGAAAAATGAGAGATGAAGGGATAAAGGAAGAACTATCTCTGTAGAGTGAACTTGAGCCAAATAAAAGAAAGGATAAAAAGCAAAACTAAAAGTGCACTCTGCCCCAGACACAGAGTGGGGGCTCCTAGCATCTGGTCTCCTTTGTGCTATCTGCATCTCATGGGAACCCCTGAGAAGACCCACATATAGAGTCCTAAGAATTATCCGGCACCTCCCTGGGATCTTAAAATTGACAAAGCCCACCCATCTCTGCAGCCAGCTTTGCCATGCCCTGTCTCCTTATATCATAATGATACAAACTACTTATAAAATTTCACTTGCAACTTCTACCTGAAATACAAAGTAATTTCAAAACTTTTCAAAGATGAGGCTATTACAGCTTCAAACCCTTTTATAGCTTTCTTCCCCACGTATGTTTTCATATATTTATTTTCAATTGGTTGAGAAAATGCTTTTGAGTTACTTTATTACTGATCAAAGCATGTATATACAGTGGTACCTCTGTTCATGAACTTTATTTGTTCAACAGTTCGAGGGAAGATGGCTGCAGTTGTCTTCATAACCAGAAGTGGTGTTCAGAAAGGAAGCAAAATTTTGCCAAACACTTCTGTTTGAGAACTGAACTGTTTGTGAACAGAAGTATTTGTGAGCCGAGGTATTATTGTACATTGCTAAATGAATGTTTTCTGCATAGGTAACATTATAAATTTTGTCTATAAGCAATATACATTTATTGAAAAACTTTAATACTTTCTCACTTCTTTTTTTTTAATTGATTTTATTGGTACAGTTTAGGGATACAGTACAGTTACATTCATTGGGATCTTGTACCTTTACATGACAGGTCTTGGTTCCTCACTTCTTAGACCCCCGCAAAGATGCTATTTTCCAAAGTTTATCACAGTGGTTGCTTCTTGCTAAAACATTAAAATACATAAATACTTTAACACTAATCTGTGTCTCTCAATTTATAGATAAGAAAACTGTAAACTGAGACCAGTAATGATGTTTTGAATTTGGAAGTTGCTGAAATTAGTCCAACATTTGGAACCAAATAGGGAAGTAAGTCAGTATCAGTCACTTAATAGCCTGTTATTGGTCAGACCATCCTTGACAGCTTTTCTCCAAGATCACAAGGAAGCATAGAAGTTTGGCCCCTTCCCTCCTTCTACATAAACTGATTAGAGACCTCAATTGTAAAATGCTATCATTAGAGCTTTTCCTACCTGGGACCTGGAGAGAGGGGAAGAAAATTAAGACCACCTATAATCAGAATTTGGGAGCAATAATCCCACAACTAAAAGGGTTAATACCTGGTAGACCAACCAACTGAGCAGAGGCCCAGATAGTGTCTGTTTCAAACTGATCAGCATCCAAACCACACAAGTTGTTAAGCATTTTTAGTATTATTTCTGTACCCTTAGAATCTGACGATATAGTGTACCTGACCAACATAAACTCATCCAATTGTTTAAAAAAAAAGTCTAGTCTCATAGCTATCAAATTTGGGCTTGCATCAGATGCCCTGCAGGCCTTGTTAAAACATGTTCTCCTGGCCCTAATCCTCAGAGGTGCTGATTCATTACTTCCAGGGTGAGGCCTGGGAGTTTGCATTTCTTACAGTTCTCGGGTGATGCTTGTGTTGCTAGTTCACTGGTCACAGACAGCTCCCAGGTGGAGATGTATCTTGAGAGGGATACTTCTCAAATATCAGTGTGCATAATCGTATCAAAAATCGTGTGATACAGATTCTTCTTTGTGGATTTGGGGTGGAGCCTGAGATTATGTATTTCTTTAAAGTTCCTAGGTGATCCTGAACAGGAAGGTTTTGGAGGAGGGTTTTGGAGCACTGAAAAGAATTTACTCTTCACATCTATATAATGAAAGTCCTATCTTTGTATACCATTTGCTTCTTGTCCTCTTTTTTTGCATTTATTTTTATATCCTTTTACTTTTTTCACATTTTCTTTTGCTCTTCTTCCTTTGCCTCTTCTGTCTTTCCTTTCTCTCTTTACTCCTTTTATTCCCACACTTATACTCTAATTTTTGTAGATTTAAGATCCCCACCCCATCCTCAGGATTCTACTCTGGATAAATTGTTAAAACAAACAAAAACTGCAGTCCTGATTTCAGAGAGAGAGAGAGAGAGAGAGAGAGAGAGAGAGAGAGAGGGAGAGAGACACTACACCCAAACATTTTTGGAACTTCATGCTTCCAACAGTGAGGTCAGAAAGGAGTCTAGGAAAACGTGTGAGAGCACATGTCAGAGAAACAAAGGAGCCAGTCAGCTGCACAGAGAAATCCTGAATTTCTCTTTTCTAGAAAATACTTAATAAGGAACATTTTTCTAGATCTAAGAACTTACCTCACTCACTCACTAAACACCCATTCTGCTAAACATTAACATGTGTGTATGTGTGTGTGTGTGTGTGTGTGTGTCTGTGTGTGTGTCTGTGTGTGTATCAGTTGTGGTAAATCTAGTCATTTTCTGGATTTTTAATAGTCTTTAATGCTCACTGAGGATAAACAAGCTTCTAGGAGCCATCAGCTTGGACTCTCACATCTCTCAGGCTAAGTAAGTATTCTAGCAGCAAATTCCAGGGAAAAGTCTACAAGCCCTAGCACACTGAAGGGCACAAGTACTGGCCCAGACTTTCTCAATTTTTGGAATCCAAGGGTCGTAGCAGAAGTTTATTGTTTTAGTAGCTGTGTCTGAGAGCTAATTTTGAACTATCTTCTCTCCAGCTGCAGAGTCCTATAAGAAAACAGAGAGTGAAAATGGCATATATCTTCCTAGTGTAAGGAGGGGGAAAAAAAGGGAAATAATTCTGACTTTAGTTCATCCAGTGCTAAACAGCTTCCGAAGAGCTGGCTGAGGCTGGAGGATTGCAAGTTTGAGCCCAGTCTGGGAAACTTAGTGACTTAGTGGGACCCTGTCACAAAAGAAATATTTAAAAGACCTGGAGACGTAGCTCAGTGGTAAAATGGCCCTAAATTCAATTCCAAGTGTTGAAAGTAAAACAAAAACAAAACATGAATAGACCTAGGTAGGTTAGCTGACCCTGTGCCCCTCCCTATGTGACAGGTAACCTAATCTGGACTTCTAAATGAATGCTAGGTAGCATAATGGACCTAAATTTGCTGCATCTTGCCCATCTCATCTGTAGAGGGGAGAGGACCCCGTCACTTTAACTGAGTACACAGCAGATCACATATGTGGAAATAATACCTAGAACCAAGCCCACCCTTTGAAGTAGTTCTCAACTGTGAGTGGATTTGCTCCCCAGCAGACTTGTATAGCCATCATCTCTTAAGAGTGCTACTAACATCCAGCACATAGAGGTCAGGGATGTTGCTGACTATCCTACAGTGCAAAAGACTGTCACTCATAGCAAAGAATTATAGGTCCACAACATCAATCATGCTTTGGCTAAAAAAAAAATCTGGCTTGAAAGGTGTTCAATACATGTGAATATCCACCTTTTCTTCCTAAATTAAAATAAGAGGAAAGGAGAAGCACATGAGAATAAGATCTTCACTATGTAATAACGAATAAAATTCCTTGCTAGGATGGCAGAGGTATCAAAATCAAGGATCTGAAACTCAAACAAAAATAGGGGCCAGAAAAAAATATAAATAAGTAAAGCATTATGGGAACTAAGAAAACTTTTTTTTAAAAAAACAGACAATGAACAGAGACATTAGAAGGGCCAAGGATTTAGCTCAGTGTTACCACCACCTGCCTTGCAAGCACAAGGTCCAGAGTTTAATCCCCGGGACCAAAAAAAAAAAAAAAAAAAAAAAAAACAAAAAAAAAAAAAAAAAAAAAAATCTCAAAGAACAAAGACATCAGAAATATTCTACATATTTTTCATTTTGTAGAAGAGAAGTAGCTGCACCCCCACAGCAGAAATGGTGTCTGGCCATTGGAGAACTCCACACTGAGTTCTCAAAGCAATAGAAGATGGTGGGAACAAGAGTCAAGTGGAAAGAGCACGTGTCCCCTTGAGGGCCAGCAACTTCTCTATCTACCCAACAGTTATCATTAATACAGGATTAACAGCCCACGGCTAAAAGAGTAGAAAACTCAAAAGAAGGATTGTGCTGGGTTTTATTTTGTTACAGAATCTCACATTTCTTGCATTTTTTTGTGTGTTGTTGTTATTGTTCTTATTGCTCTGAAGATTGGAAAACATTGGTCATGGTCATGTTTGTTTGGTTTCTTTTTTCTAACATTAAATCTCAAACAATGACAAATCACCAATTGTAGGGTTTGGCAAACTGTTGCTGTTTTCATATGGTCTGCTAGCCAAGAATGCTTTTTTATATTTTTAAAGATTGTAAAAACAAAGAATATGTGACAAAAACTGCATATGGTTCATAAAGCCTAAAATATTATCTGATCTGTTACTGAAGATTTGTCAACCCTTGGTTCTGTACATAAAAGTGAAGTTTCTTTACCTTCTAAATAGGTAGAACAAAAAAATAACAAAGTTCAGGGAATCTATGGCTCATAACATGAATGTACAGGAGACACTATTAGATTAAGGCTTTAGGGTTTTTCTGAGGAGCAAAATAGGTCCTTCGAAATTCTAAATAAAACCATCTTTTGTCCGTTATTAATTTTTAATATTAATTATCATGGTTACTTCTCATTTGGTGATTAGCAGTAAGGATTGGGGAAGAAAGAGAAATGTATAAAAATCAGTGGTAAAAGACAAAATGAGCCGTGCACATTATTGATTCTGCATATAAGGCCCCCAATTTCCAGATTCTTGGCTAACCATAAGCTGACTGACTAGTGAAAAAGTGGAATTAGATCCCAAGTCTACCAGAGTTCCAAGTTCTGTAATGATGTACTCGATGATGTCACAGAGAAGTCACCCTTAGGATCCTATAATTAATAAGAGATAGCTACAGTGATCCACCTGAATCAACAGGAGAGTTTCGTCAGCAATTCCCAGGTGTAAATCATGGTTCAGGTTATTAAAGACCCGGCAAGTATTCATTTGGCTTCATGGACTATTTCAAGAGTGGACACCTTGAGAATAGATTTAATACATTTTAAACATTATTTCCTCCACTCAGTATTCCTTTATTGCTCTGTAGCAAGGGTGAGCCTTTTAATTCTTGCTCTTCATATTGTTCCTGGGGATATGGCGCTATCTACAGAGATAGCCAAGGGACAAATGGATCAAAGGATTTTTTTTCCCCTTTTTAATTCTCATTTCTTGTTCTAAGGGTCTAGGTCATCTTCTAACATAGCCTGTCCTGAATCTGATTCCATAGATTCTATCTTAGTTGTACCTGGGAAATTCTATGAAAGTCAGAGGGTCTGCATTGTTCCTTTTATCCTAGGAAAGAAAGCAGAAAATTCAGATGTGCCTATGAAAAAATGGTCTCAGTAGTAGTGACAGTTCCTTAGGTTGACTTTTATAAAGCCATTACCCAGTGTTACTGTCACAACACATCTAAATTTGTATCTTAGGTATAGATCATTCTTTCTTTATAAAGAAGAAAATTGCTTCTAAAACAGAGACGTTAGGGCCTAACTCGTTTAAGTGTTGGAGTGGGCATTAGAGTCCAGACAACAAATGCGGGGCCTCACTGGAGAGGTCAAGGGCTGGGAGGGGCCTGGAAGGGCACAGCGTTCAAATTTCACATCCTCTGGCCCTGACTTGGACTTTGAACATTTTTCTCAAATGTGGCCATACATAAGGTCACAAAAACAATATTAACTAACTACTTTAAAAGAAAGCATTTGATACCAGAAAACGTTTTTAATGTTTCTAATGTTTGAGGCACTTCTTTCTTAAACTGTCCGGGCATCTCATGGGATGACCAAGGAAGGCATTACTCCTCTGAGAAACATTTTCCTCCCTCGGGTCCTTTCCTACGGGCCAATGTCTTTTTCTCATGGTTGTGAGGTCTGATCAAAATGTACAGTGAAGTTAAATTTTAAAGCCAATATCTAAATTTAAACAGAATTTAAATAAAGTGTTTAAATTTTTAAAAAATATGTTACAGTAAAAGATACACTGCTATTAATCCCTCTGAAAACAGCCCCCCTCACTTCTAACATAATTATCCTATCATCTTTGTCACTTTCTGAAGTAGTTCTGGAAGTCGTCTTTCATGAACATTTCCAGTTGAGCTGTTGTGGCTGCCTCGATGTCATGAATCAATTCAAAACGACAACATTTCATAGTCGTTTTGACTTTGGGGAAGAGCCGGAAGTCACACCGTGTCAGATGCAGTGAATAAGGTGGGTGAGGACTCACCGTAATGTTTTTACAAGCCTGGCTTTCTGTTGGATGGCGCTCAGCCACAGCATTTCACCATACATTTTATCCAAAATCAAAGGCAGTCACAAAAGAGGACTTTGCAAACAGCTTCAGAAAGTGTGAAGAATGATGGGAAAAGTATTTCTGAAACTAGGGGAGTCCTTTGAGGGGGATGAATGGCAATGTGTCTTTTACTGTAATAAATTGTTTTTTTCTCTCTCGAGTTTGTTGGTACATTCTAGGTATACAGTACAGTTACATTCATCATTAGGCTCTTGCACCTCTACATGACAGGCCTTAGGTCTCATTTTTTCCCCTTGTCCCTGCCCTCCCTTCACCCCTCCTCCCCTCCCCATTTACAAACACTTTTTTCATTTTCTCTTATTTTTCTCTTTTCCCTTATTACCCTTCCCCTACCCCTCCCACTTTCCCTACACCTTTAGCCCCTTTCTTCCTATTTCACATTGTCAATTATCTCATTAGGATCTTATGTACCATTATAGTTTTTCACACCAGAGAAACTATTCGGTATTTACACATGTGTGACTTATTTATTTCACTTAAGAGTATATCCTCAATATGTATCCATTTCCCTATGAATGAATCTACTTTCTCATTCTTTATGGCTGAGTAGTATTCCATTTTATAGAAAAACCACATCTTCATTATCCAGTCTCCAACTGATGGGTAAATGGGCTGTTTCCGAGTTTTAGCTGTTACAAACTGTGCCACTATAAACATAGGTGTGCATATATCACTGTGATATGATTCTTTTAATTCTTTTGGAAAGATACCCAGGAGAGGGATGGCTGGGTCAAATGGAACCTCTAATCCCAGATCTTTGAGGTATCTCCATATTAATTTCCATAGTGGTTGCACCAGTCTGCACTCCCAACAACAATGGAGAAGGGTTCCTTTCTCCCCACAACTGCGCCAACATTTGCTATTGGGTGATTTCTTGATAGCAGCCGTTCTTCATGGGATGAGGTGAAATCTCAGTGTTATTTTCATCTGCATCTCTTGAATGACCAGAGATGTGGAACATTTTTTCGTATGTTTATTTGATTCTTTTACTTCTTTGCCTGAGAAATGTCTGTTCATTTCAGATGCCCGTTTTTGAATCGTCTCTTTATATTTGGGGGGGACTGATTGTTTTAAATTCTTTATATATTCTAGATAAGAATCCTTTGTCTGAGGAGCAGCTGGTAAAAATATTTTCCCACATTGTAGGTTGTCTTTTAGTTCTGTTGATAGTTTCTTTTTCAGTGCAGAAGCTATTTAATAAGATGAGATCCCAGTTGTTGATTCTTTCTGCTAGTTCCCATGATACTGAGGACTTGTTCATAAAATCTTTTCCTATGCCAATATCTTCAAGAGTTCTGCCTAACTTATCTTCCAGCAAGTTTAGTGTTTCTTTTTTAATATTTAGATCTTTAATCCACTTGGATTTTAGCTTAGTGCATGGTGAAAGATAAGGGTCTAGTTTTAATCTTTGGCAGGTTGAAATCCAGTTTTTCCAATACCATTTATTAAAGAGACTATCTTGTCTCTAGTGAGGATGATTGGCTCTTTTGTCAAAGATGAGGTAGCTGAGTATATATGGAGTTGTTTTTGTATTTTCCAGTCTGTTCCACTGATCCTTGGGTCTATTTCTTTGCCAGTACCATGCTGTTTTATCACAGTGGCTTCGTAGTATAGTTTCAGATTGGGAATTGTTATACCCACTGCCATCTGTTGCCTAGGATGGCTTTTGCCATTCTAGGTCTCTTATGGTTCCAAATGAATTTTTGGATTCTTTTTTCTAGTTCTATGAAATGTAGTGTTGGAATTTTAATTGGCATTGCATTGAATCTGTATATCAGTTTTGGTAGTATGGCCATTTTCACTATGTTGATTCTTCCTACCCAGAAGCAGAGGATATCTTTCCATTTTCTTATATCCTCTTCGATCTCTTTTTTCAGAGAGGTGTAGTTTTCATTGTAAAGGTATTTTGCTTATTTCATTAGATTGATTCCTAGATACTTCATTTTTTTGGATGCTATTGTGAAAGTAATTATTTCCCTAATTTCTCTCTCAGTGAGTCCATTATTTATGTACAAGAAGGCTATTGATTTTTCAGCGTAGACATTGTATCCGGTTACTCTGCTAAGTGTCAATTAAGTCTAGAAGTCTTTTGGTGGAATTTTTTGGATCTTCAATGTAGAGTATCATATCATCAGCAAATAATGACAGTTTAACTTCTTCTTTTCCTATCTTTATTGCTTTAATTTCTTTCTCTTGTCTAATTGCTGTGGCTAATATTTCCAGAACTATACCAAAGAGGAGTGGTGATAGTGGGCATCCTTGTCTTGTTCCTGATTTTAACATGAAGGTTTTCAGTTTTTGGCTATTTGATATGATGTTGGCTGTTGGTTTTTCATAGAGAGACTTTATTAAGTTGAGGCATAGACCATCTATTCCAATTTTTGAAGGGTTTTTATCATGAATGGGTGCTGAATTTAAGTTGTTTTTTACCTAAACTTTCACCATATATTTTGACCATCCCTATACTTACTAGTTTTAGTTTAAAAATTAAACCTTTCTAAAACTGCTCTCTTCATTTATAAAGAACAGCATTAATGACAGTTGTGCCCTAGCATTGTGTCCATTGCCTGGCCTCATAGAGGCCTCACTCAGTGTCTGTTGAATCAAGACCTATACTCTAGGATTATCCCCTTCAGATTTTAGCCAAATCCATTTCCTGGATCCGCCTAGGTCCATTCACATGCAAATCATTACTGGGAAGTAAAAGTTGTTGAGAACTATAAAAATGGCATCTATCTTATAACTTCAGAAGCAAGTGAGAAATGGAGACTTGGCTCTTTGAGAAGTTAATCGCTTGTCCTAGAGGAAATTTAATATTGAAATGTGTGCCTTCTTTGAGTCATCAGACTCACCTGCTTAAAACTCAACAGAGTTAATTGTCCCCTTCTATAAAGCAGGCATGCCATTCATGTGGAGTTAACCCCATTGCTTTTGAGGATAGGTGCTTTTCATTGGGTACCGGGGATTGAACTCGGGTCCATTGCGCTTGCAAGGCAGGCCACCGAACCGCTGAGCTAAATCCCCAGCTGATAGGTGCTTCTTAATAAACGATCACATCTCTCATCTTGATGATTAACCCAGGGATAAACACAAGATACTATTAAGAACAGTGAGAGGGAGAGTGAGTTACTATTACTATGAACTCAGGAGGTAAATTTGTGCAATAAGTAAAGAAATGGACTTGGAGTCAGGCTACCTAGGCTAACAACCCCAACTAGACCACTTACCACCTGGCTGACTATGAGAAAAGTTAATGACCTTTAGTTTTCTCATTTGTGAAATGGAGATGAGAGTAATGCTACATGGGATAATTATAGCGATTATAAGGCAGAGTATCAAGCATAAATAATTCATCTGAGTAAAGGAAAAAAGATAAATCTTGAAGAGAGCACACTACAATAAACCAGTAAACGCTCTAAGAGTATTTAACACTTACCAGTTAGGAGGTTACCAGCCATGGGCGGTATCTTTAGAAACGCTGAGATAGGGCTGGGGATTTAGCTCAATGGTGCTGCCACCACCTGCCTTGCAAGCACAAGGACCTGAGTTGGATCCCCGATATAAAAAAAAAAAAAAAAAGGAAAAGAAACACAGAGATAAACCAGCCATGAAATAGCCAGTGTGGGAAACAGCCACTGCCTATAAAGCAAGCAAATAAATATGTAGTGGTCTGAAAGGAAAATCTTACTTAGATGATATAGACAGGAGAAATTTTACTTAAGATAGCAAAGAACAGACTAAATCTTTAATGTATATTTTTGACTATAGCTTTAATAATGATCATATCCAAAAACAAAATTTAAAATATGACTCAAGGTGTTAAATTAGTTCTTCTCCTTTTAATTTCACTATTAATGCTTTATTTGCCATTGTTAAAGCCATTTAAAAATCAAATGTCACTATCCATCATGAATGACATTCCACTTTCACTTTTCAACTCTCATTTTTCCCTGAGAAATCTGTTTCAACCCAGAGGTAGACACATTATCAACCTCCATCTTCAACATGCTTCGTGAGTAGACTTGTAATTTTTGTAGATTTTATCATCTTTTATGCATAATCACAAAGAGAAACATGTCTGACACATTTAGGAAAGGTTGGGTCAGCTGCAGAACAATGGGGTAGGACACCACTGGTTAAGGGATTTTTTTAATGTACCCCATCATTTTATTCTCTGTAAGCCTTTATGAGATTCGGTGATTATACACATTTTTTCATTGGTGTTATGTTTCAGAATGAGTTGACAGCATTTTTGAAAGCTGCTGGGCACAAACTTGTAGTGGTGGAATTTTCAGCAAAATGGTGTGGTCCCTGCAAATTGATGGGTCCTATTTTTCATGTAAGTATCACCAGTTTCTGTATCACTGTAATAGAAAGAACTTAAGCCCCCAAAACAGTTTTCCAAGTAATTCTTAAAAGTCTGGCCCTTGGAGCCCTCCATAGGGCCAGTTTATGGAACACCAATTTATGTTGTTGCAAATGGTAGATAAATCGTGTCTTACATATTCTTTCTTGTCCTGCATCTACATTGTAAAACATTCTGGTAAAATATTCTACTTAGCAGTAATTATACACTTATATTCAGACATTTCTTCTACTTATATGTTAGCTCATATTTTATAGTCTCTAGATTAAAATGTTAATGTCTATACAATATTTTATCTAATCTCTCTATTGCCCCACTTGTTTTATTTAGTTTTGGTAAAATATACCACAGAAAGAATCTCAAGGTATTTTCTTTTTATTTATCCTTATTGTGCAAAAGTTTCATGCTTAGTAGCATCCCTCTTGTGAAATGTATTCCATCCTTAAAGAATTTTTTATCTTTCTACTGTGCAACTGAAAATGCTCTATTTTCAATGAGATTTCTAGCATTTTAACTCTCTATACTTGAACTATTGTATCCATCTGAATTAATTTCGACTAATCACAACCTTTGACATTTAATTAAAAATGAATTTATAGTCAATAAGAGAAATTGGCTGCATAACATCCCAATATCTCTGCTGTGCCTAAAATTCTCAGTATATCTAGAGGCAACATTTTAATATCTGATGCTCCCCCTTCTGTCCTCATACAGGTAAACTTCCTCAAATTTTTATAATTTCATTGTACTGCTTTCTGTTGGAATCTACACTAAGGCAAATGTAGTTTTTAAATAAACTCCAGTGTATCCACACTATGAAATACTATTTAAGTGTTATAAACAATTGAGCCATTTATAGTGATGAAATTATCTCCAGAATAACATATAAAATAAAAAGAATGCAGTGTGCAAATATTTATATAATATGGTCTTGTTTATGTAAAATAGACATATATGTGTGTATATGTGTATATATTTGTATAAACATATAATATGCATATAAATATATGCAAACAATGGGGAGCAGAAACATACACATCAAATAAGCTTTTTTAAGTGAATAAATGAAAATTGGGTAAAAGTGGGAATGGGAGAACTTGATGTATTGCTTTTTTTTTATTGCCTAGCCTTTTGCAAAAGAAGGTATTTATGCATAATTTGTTTCAATTCATGGTCCATGAGTGGGTTAGAGAATCTTCTTCACTTGCTCTAGTTCACTATATCAGTCAGAGATTTATCAAGAGATAAAGAATGAATTAGACAGAAAAGAATTTTAATATAAGGAATTAAATACTGTAACAATTGTAAATCATTTGAAGGCTGGATAAGTGGGCTCGGGGTTGAAATTCCATGAAAAACCATAGACCCAGAAAACACAGACTCATTGTGTGTTCCTTTTTTTTTTTTTTTTTTTTTTT